ACATGTGTACATGGTGATGGCATGTGCATAACACATACACACAGACATACAAACAGACACACACACACACACATACAGAATGGTTAGGTGTTGTTGTATGACCCTGTGTATACTAGAATCATGTTAAATCATGTATTGTTAAATCCTGTTTTTGGGCCTTATGATCATGATGTAGTTATGTACCACATGGCCAGATTACATATTATGTTTTGTTTAGCCATATGCATATGCTTGGATCTAATCACACACACATTGTTCTATCTATGATAACCACTCGGTAAGTTGTCAATCATAACAAGTCTTTGATTTGCAATGGAGTGTATGTTGCATGAATGAGTTACTATAAAGAATAACTTTATCCTAAACACAGTTGCTAAGGCAATGGTTGACACATCTGTACTGTCCTTGTTCACATTACCATATGATTCTGTAATTTTTGGTTTAGATATTCATAATGAATGAAATGTATGAGGATTTACATTCAAGGTAGTTAGCAATTGCATAGTGTGTGACCTGTTTCTTCATGTGCCTGCTGCCTGCTGTTGACATACCTAATTAACTATTCCCTGCCTAATTATACTTATTTGATGTGTATGTGTGTGTGTTTATAGACTAGTAGCAACTGTTAGACCCCATAATTCATACTTGTAAAAGTAATGAAGAACAACAAGTGGTGAAGAACCAGAAGGCCGATGGAAGACTTCAAGAAAAAAATGGCTAAGTCCTCAATACAACCAGAGGGTCGATGAATCGACTAGAGATGCGATGGAAAGAGCATTTTCATAACCCCTCTGGTTACCAACACTTTGAGTTTTCTACAACAGCTCAACCAGAGGCATGCGATGAAGATATCAAGATAGAGTTGAACAACACCCCATGGAAGACAGCTGGAGATGACAAATCGACAACTGGATTCTACAAAGTTTATCTTGTTTTATTTAATTTACTTAGATAAGCTTTATCTTTCCTAGAAGATTTGCTAGATATCCTCCTTAGATAGTTATCTAATAGCCTTCTAGTATAAATAGGTGATTAGGCCTATTGTAATTTTGGACGCTTTTACAATTATTGAAATAAAGTGAATCCTTTGACACTCAAGTATATTATTTGAATATTCATCTTTTGTTCTTGAGTGTTCGTCATTTATTCATCCAAACTATATAATTAGGTTATTCTTAATTTAATTATTAGTGTTATTGAGAGATYTGGGATCAACAATTGGTATCAGAGCCAATTGATTGTTCTTCAATCAAAACGATCATCAAAAACTCTCAATTCACTTTTTTCTTTTTCTTTTTTCGAGTTCATAAAAATCTTCTCTAAAAAGCGTAATTTTTTTTTCTCTCTTCCAAATCTTAAATGGCCAACTGCAATTCTGCTTATAGTGTTGGTTCTCTAACCAAGCCTCCAACTCTTCAAAGAGAGGAGTTTCCACAATGGTGGATAAGGATGGTAAATTTTCTGGAGGGGATGGACAGGAATCTCCTCAGGTCTGTCATAGAGGGTCCCTACATTCCACAGACTCTTGTTCCAAGAGTCCCAGGAACTAGCACGACAGCAGAAATACTAGCTTACTACATGCCTAAGGACGAGAAGAATTGGGATGAAGATGATATGGAGCGCGTAGAGACTAACAAGAAGGCCAAAAGATTAATTATCATGGCCATTCCCAATGAAATCTTCCAATCCCTCGATGCATGCACCACAACAAAGGAACTCTGGGATGAGCCAAGTCAATTAGAAGGAGGAGCAAAACCGAAGAAAAATCATAGAGCTCAATGTCTCAACGAATATACCAACTTCAAGGCTCTTCCTGATGAACTGATTTAGAAGACGTACTATCGTTTCAACACATTGATCAATCAATGTCGTCGAAACGATATCTCCAGGACGAAGGCAGAAAATAATGTGTTATTGCTTAAAAGTCTCGGTGATGAGTGGACTCATCTGTCGATGTCCCTCCAACCAAATCAGGACTTAGACAGCTAGTCACTTCATGACGTCTATGGAACACTTGTTTCACAAGAGAATGATATAATGAAGAGAAAAGTATCCATCGGTGGACCCCTTGCTCTTGCTGTAGAAGAAAAGGATGTTTCAAGGACCTCTACTAGAGACCACAGGAGAAAAGGTAAAAAGGCACTGGTAGTGGAATCAGAATCGGAAGACGAGACATCCGAATCCGATGATGATCTCAAAACCTTTGCCAAATCTCTGGCCTTGATAACAAAACAATTCCAGAGGAAGTTCATCAAAAAGCTGTTTGAGCGAAGAGACTCTAGAAGGGAGAACTTCCAACCCTCCTATGAAAAGAAGCCGACGAAGTTCCATCAGAGGAAAGACAGAAGCGAGGGAAGAGAAGAAAGAGAAGATAGAAGAGAAGAGATAAGACATAGACGGAAGGAAGAATGACCTTCGCTGCTTCAAATGCGGAAAAATCGGTCATTTTTCAAAAGAGTGTAGAGGACGTCTGGTGAAGGATGCAGACTATTACAAGAACAAATACAAATACAATCCTAAAGAGCGAAGCCTGATGGCTAAAAAAGAAAATTGGGTGTCTGATTCTTCGTCTGATGAAGAAGACAAGGCACTCATCTCTTTGATGGCCACGTCCAATGCAGAATCCGCCTCTGACTCTGATGAACAGGTATGTGAGTCTTCTTTCAATGAAACCAACTCTACTCCATCTGAGCTAGAGTTAAAGGTAATGAAACTTTCAGAGGACTTTTTAAAACTCAAAGAAAAATTAAATTTTGAAAAATCTGAAAGACTTAAAGCGGAAAAAGAAGTCAGTTTCTACAAAAGAGAGACTGATCTTCTAACCAAAGAAAAAGCCGAACTAGTTAAGGAAAAGACTCGCATCGCCTCTCTTAAAAAATCAAAGGAAGAAAAACTTTTGGATTTAAACAAGAGAATAACTAAGGACTTAGAAAAGAAGGCAAAGGCCTTAAAAGAATCCGAGGCAGAGAGACTCAACTTAGTTGCTCTCAAAGATTTCTTTCAAAAGGAAAGGAAGATTCTTCATCAGAAGCTTCAAACCAATGAACTTCTGATGAAGAAATATAAGGATGCCCAATATGTGTACGAAAAACTTAACGGTCAAAAGGACACTCAAAGGATTTGATTCAATGAATTGGACTCCTTCATCAAAACAAAGAAATCCACCCTTGACTCCACTTTCAAACTTGGATGCATTCAAAAACCCRACTTTTTCCCTAAACCCAAGGCAAACTTCAAAAGGGTTAAAGTCGATGGAAAAAATTGTCCTTTTAAGACAGGATTTTGAAAATGTGGTGTACGAGAACAACACATGTAAGAATTCTAATGAAGGGAACGATGCCTCCACACCAGAGACCGATGGAAATCCCATGGTTAAACCAGAGTCTGTGGTCATCAATTCCACTTCATCAACAAGTGATGTTGATGAAAATGAGAATCTTAGTTAGGAACTGTCATCTGATGAATCAATGAACCATTCAAGTAATATTGGAAGTTCATCTAAGTCAGAAGCGATGGAACCTGATAAGTGTTAATTTATTAACCTTATTACATCATTTTCTTAACCATTTTCCGTTGTTTTATTTGCCCATTAGTGTCCTAATTGAGTCTTTTTCTATCTTTTTCATATATTAGTAGTTATATTGTATATCTAATGTTAATTCTCTGTTTATGCAGGTTTTTGAGCATTTTTGGGACCAGTCCTGTGACAGTCCTATAGGACCCAGAGTGACAAGGTCCTATAGGACCTATCCGAGTGCTGGAAATCTTTTGGGCCGAGGAAAGATGGGCTAATCCAAAGAGAARGCTTGGTCAACAMCCWTGGGCTTRGTCAAAGCCCAGCTTGGAAGGGTCTTTTGTCTTATTAGTTGGCATCCACCTTGAAGCTTCTCTTTACCTATTTAAAGGAGTGTTGACCTTTGTAATTCACACTTAATTATTCACTTAGACTTTTTGGATACACAATTTTCACTTAACTTGCTACCTACTCTTTTCTCTCATTAGGATCATCTTGCTACCTACTCTCTTCACCAACAAAAATCATCTAGTTTCTTAACCATCTTATTGTACTTTTTGTAACTTTGTGATAATCTTGTGTTAGCTATCTTCAAGAACATCATTTTGGAACTAAGCCTTTGTTTAAGAAGTGATTTTTGTAAGTTACGATCGCATTCTCAAAGTTTATTTTAAGTACTCATATTTAGTCTTCATCTCATTTTTAGTTTCAAGTTACATTATGTTTTATCGTCTCTAAATTACGTAATCTAAATAAATCGCGTTTTTAAATTTRCAAGTAACCTTACGGCCTTTGTAACGTAACTTGTTTTGCAAGTTACGTTACTTGACTTGCAAGTTTTCCTTCACGTTTCCCAAGGTTTTCCCATCATC